ACAGAACTTATTACAGAGGCTCAACTGCATTGTACCATTCCCATAAAGTGCAATGTCAAACCTAATAAATTTGGTTTCCTCCAGAACACATTACATTGTAACTCCAAACCAAAATATAACTTCCAGCTGCAGCAAAATTAATAAGATAGAATGTGTCAGGATAGATGAAATACCTACTAATGCTGTCCTGAGCCTTATCTGTTAAATTTGTGGCTTTTGCCATGTATATGTACTCCTAAGTCTAGTAAGTAAGCTTAAATATGGTTCCTACTGATAAATCACTAGACTCAGTCAATGAAGAGGGAGATCCAAAGCCCTTAAAGAACAAGTGTCCTTAATAAGTGGCACTTGGTGTAATGGATGGGGTCACCATAAGCTTTTCTAAAACTTTGTATAACATGCAGTTATCTTATCCTTCTGTTTCTATATTTTCCCTCTTGGTCTACTGCCTCTTTTCTCCCTTCTATCCAATTTTCCTTCCTTTCCCGCCCATTCCAGTGTGCTAGCGTTATTCAAACTCTAAGAGGCAATCTATACTCACTCCTGAGTTCAGTTTAGTGGACCACAGCCATCCATTTTTAAAATCGACTACAACAGAATAATATTTCAGGGTGCAAGGCCATGATGAGGATAATATTGTTTCAGAAAATTCATGTTTCAATCCGTGACTGTGCCTTGGATCATGATGTGAAATATATTTATTTCTGTGGAGCAGTACCAGTATGCATTGCCTGCCTCCACTGATAGTACTTGGCCATAAGAGATGCATAGTGTAGTCAGTAGATCACAAAGCAGAGCAGCAGGCAGCCTGGAATCTAGGTTGTGCACTGTTGCTAAGTCATAATGTGTATTTTGTTCCTTTAAATTGTTTAAGTGATTACAAAAATTAAGGTGTTTATATACACATATCATACATATATTTATATTATGTATTATACATAATATATGCCTTTATATTATAAACATATATATTATATTATAAACATATAAGGTATATATTATGTGTAATATATAATATTTGTACATATATATTTTTATATATAATATATACCTTTATATTATATATACATTATACATAATATAAATGTATAAATATATAATATAGATAATATAAATGTATAAATATATAATATAAAGGTATATATTATGTAGAAATAAACATATATCTACATAATACATAATATAGATACATATGTGTATTTATGTATTTATACATGCATGTATTTATATTATATATAATTACAAATAATATATACATTGATATTATCTATATTTAAACATTTATATATATTTATACATATATGTATATGTATAAGTATATATTATATGTAATAAATATCATATACATAACATGTATTACATATAATGTGTATATACATATATGTATATAATATACATATAATATGTATACATGTACATGTATATAATATGTAATATGCATATGATATTGTATATACGTATATGATAATGTGCATAATGTATACATTATATGTATTGTATAAATACATTTATGTATTTATGTATTATATATTTATACATGCATGTATTCGTAGTATATATTTATACATATATACATTTACATATGTTTTTATATGTATATTTGTGTTTATATGTTTATATATTAATGCATATATAATATAAATACATGTATATATAATGTGTACTGATACATATTTATCAAAACATTTATATATATTATGTATTTATGTTATTGGTTATACATAATATAAATACATGTATGTATATAAAATATAATATACATGTATACATTACACACACATGAGAACGAGGGATGCTGTTAATCCTCATACATTGCACAGGGCAGCCCTCGCAATAAATCATCATTTGGCCAAATATGCAAATTTGTCATTAGTGTTGAGGTGGAGTCCTGATATATACATATATGCACCTATTTGAAAACATCATCTGTAAAATAACAGGTGGAATTTTTTGAAGTTCTTTTGAGTGTTTGACATGACATAGCCCCAACTGAAATCATAAATATTTTTTCTAATCCTAATTCTATTAGGTAGCTTAAAATCAAACATTGATTTCTGACTAAAATCAACCATTTATCAAGAATGTGAGTATGGGCAAGCTCTTTAAATTTCCTGAGTCTCATTTTCCTCTTGTGTAAAGCCTGGATAATCATACTGGCCTGTTGAGGATTGTCATGAGAAACATAAAAACATATATAAACATAAGAAACAGATATAAACTTTTTTGTATAATTTATTTATTTTAAGAAGTGAGTAAAAAAAATTTCCAGTTTAAGATTTCTCTGCAAATATATGTACCACATTATAATTTTCAAGAGTTCTGTATACATCGCATCCTTAGTGACTCCACATAGCAGAGGCAAGTCTTTCACGTGGGGAACTGAAATTGGTGTAATGCCTGTTCTGGTCCCATTGTGAGAAAGTAGCATGGATGAAATTTGAACCCAGGTCATTGGGCTCCAAAGGCTTGAATATGAATTTGATTAAAAGAAAAACTGCTGTAGGTCTTGGCCAAGCACTATTTCGACCAAGCCAAAATGCCTGCCAAATAATCAAAATAATTGAATTGAATTTAAAAATATCCACCTTTTCAATAGCATCAGGAACAAAAGTCTACAATATCCTTTAATCAATAATTACTAATTTTAAGGCCATGTCCTTTGTTGCATTTCTTTATTTAGGAATCCGTTCTGTGGAACTCTTCTTTGAAACCTTTGGTTGAAAAGGAGCAATAGTTACTAAAATTGCAGCACATCTGTCTTAGAGTTACTGACTTTGCATTTTGTCTTCTTTTATGTTTTAAAGCTTTCTAGTTCTGGAAAGGTGTGAGGACGATGAAAAAACATCATTCTCAGGTAATTATGTACCTCACAGCAAAAGGTCATCCTTTACATCATCCCAGAAACATAGGCACTTGTATCTCATTCATCCTAGATGAAATTTCTGGTTTTCCTCTAATCTTAGAATGAAATTATAAAAACCCAGGAAAGCTTTCATTTTCTGTATTTTTTCAGTAGTTTTGCAATCTGAGATTTCTATGCTGTTTAATAACATGAAGTTTAAAATAGAAAATAGCACAGGGTCCATGAAATCCCCCACCACATGCAATGCACCTATATAACAAACCTGCACATGTACACCTGAACCTAGAATAAAAATTTTTAAAAAGAAAACAGCACATGGATATAGAAATACATTTACAGTGCTACTATAAAATATAATAGTGTCTTTTTTATTAATTGACAGAAGTACATTAATACAGGTGTCTTTAGTATTCAAATCTATTTGGAAATTTTTCTCGAACACAGAAACTTTTAGAAAATTTACTATAAAGCAGCTTCCAAATTAATTGATATATTTAAATTTTTCACAGACTTCACACTCTCTTCCATTATAACTGTCTGTGCAAAACTCTCTCAGCAAGTTGTATACTGCTCATCATTTTTTGTGTCTGTGCATTGAAGGGACAGCTACCCGCCTACTTTAAAATTTTATGCTGACAAAAGAAAAGTCTGCTCTTTTTAATTTTATCTTACTATCACTGTGGTCCCATGTGGAAAAGCAGGCTGCTAATACTTTTTGAAGGCTGGTGAACATGTTAGACTTGCCTACAAAGCTAATTAAAACTGATGGATGTCATAGATTACATGTTGCTACTGGATCTAAATAAAATATCCAGTTTCATCATTAATGCCATGTCCCTCATCTAATCTATATAGAAGTTACTACATTGTTATATATTCCCTTTGGCTACAGACACATCAGCCTTCTTAGTAGTAAACTGTCTACTTTCTTCAGCATGACTTTTTCATTATTTCTGTATTCAGATGGCCTCTTAGCTCTGGGTTTTGCAGTTGTTTATAACACTTATGAAAACCTACATGAAAAGATGATACAATCAGAAATAAGGTAAAGACAGTGGTAACAAGTATTCATTGACCTCACTTAGTTAATAATATGATGCACCCAGTCCGCTGCCTCTGGTCCGTATCAAACAGCACATTGGACATTTACACTAATACAGATATTGTAAAAAGAAGAGCAATGCTCTTGAATATATAACCATACGTACTCTGCCCATGTGCTCATGTGAGAAAGACGTTATTCTGAAGTTGCTTTCTCAAGAATGAAGTAAAAGGTACAGTAATGACCCTTACAACTCCAAAGACATGATTATAATTCTTTAGACTATTATTAAAGCAAAGTCTGTACATCTTCATCATATAAGATTATCGGTAGTTTCTTTTTAAAAAGCCCTGCACAATCTCCTTAGAAAACCATTATGAAAGAAAGCCAAGAACAGAGGACAGAAGAAGCACAAAACATTCCCAAGGGAAGGAAGAGAGTAAGGCGGTTGTCACTGCTGTGAGAACGAGTTTAAAGATACGGGGAATATGAAAATAGACAAATCCCAATGCAGATTCACTAGCTGGAGAGTAAATTTGGGGTCTAATTTTGCAATCCTCTCCTCGCCTCCAAGTGTGCTCTCTGCCACCAAGCTTTTAGATATTCCGAAGGATTCGGAGTTTTGCAGACTCTAGTGGACATGAAAAGGATAGGGGATGGTGACAACTTTAATTAATGACGTTCTCCCACAGGATCAAGGGGAAAATGTCTTAGCGTCATCAAATGAATTCCCTACTCCTGGCATAAATTAATAAAAGTGCAACTTTATCTCGAATACTCTGGAAGAGGAGACGAGAGGCCCTAGAGAAAACCAAGTCTTAAGAGGAACCGCAATGCTCTTGACAAAAACCGCACTTTTCTGTGGAAGTACATTGACTTTTTCACAGAGCAGCTTCCCTTAATAGAATCACAACCACCTGGACTACTAATAAGAGGAAGAAGAAATGAGAAAAGGGAAGGAGGATGGCAAAAATAACGCTCTGGAAGATCCAGGCAACGTCGTCGTGAAGAAAAAACGGAATAAAAATGGGCACTGGAACGCTGCTAAGGGCTTGCTTTGGTTAACACACTTGCACAACTGCAGTTCCGCTCCAGATTATGTTGAAAGTCCTTGTTTACCACCCTCGTATGAGGTTCTTCAATATATGCCTGCGAACTCCCAAAGATTGGGCGCTTACTAGTTAAGGGAGGCAGCTGTCCCGGAGGGTGTCCAGCTCGGACGGCTGACGGCTCTTTCACTTGTCGTTAACTTCCACCCAGTGGTCTCTGTCTCCCTTTGGACAGGGTACGGACCGAGTGCCATTCTTATTTCACTTGACCGAGTCCGATCTGCAACCCAGGGTAGAAGCCGCAAGGGCTGGGCAGAATTCCAGGCAAGAGGGGCCGAGAGGCATGAGCAGTGCTCCGCAGCGCTTGTCAAAGAAATGGAGCAGCGGTTCCTTTGTGGGCTCTAACATCCCTGTCCTGGGTGCCCAGCCCGGATATTTGATCTGCGGGGTGATTGATCGGTGAGGGAGAGGGGCCGCGATCCCTCCCTCCCTGCCTCCCTTCCTTATTCCCCTCTCCTCCCTCCCTCCTGACTTCCCTCCTCCCTGTCGCCTCCCCTCCTCCTTCTTGCGAGAAACGTGGCCCGTTGGATAGCAGCTCCGGTGGGGATCTGCTTGCCCTGGGGGCGCCACCCGCGCTCCCCGCGGTCCTCTCGCTCCCGGGCTGCGCTAATCGGAAGCAGTGCCGGCTCCAGTGCCTCTCTGAGTCGCAGATGCTGCGGGCTCCTCCGGGGGACGATCTGGGCAGCGCGCTCGCTGGGTAAGTTCTGAGCGCTCAGGGACGCGGTGGCGACGCGGCCAAGGAGCCGGCTTTCTCCTCAGTCCCGTTGCCTTTCCCGGCCACCTCTCCTTGGGAGGGGGACAGCGTCGCGAGGCTGGTTGCCATCCGCGTGAGGCAGCTCGCTGGCGGCCGCCCTCTATCTTCAATACCCACTAGGGATTCCTCACTCCCGGACCGTCCGTACGGGTGTGGTCGCGCGCCGCGCGTCGCGTAGCCTGGTGGCACAGGCGGCCAGGGAGGCCCCACGCACCCAGCGTGAGCTAGAAGCCTCCGGTCGGCCTGCACTGTTCAAGTCCCGAGGCGAGGGCAGCCCGAGTGGCCGTCGCGGCTGTGGAGCCGCATGCCAGACACCGCACCAGGCGTCTTGCAGGTCGGGGCAGGAAAGGCAGGGCTGCGCTGACGGCCGGTGCCCGGTGACTGGCGATCGGGGACGCTCGGAGACACCTGGTATTCGGGAAGCGCCCTTCGGAAACGGCAGTCGACCCGGCTTTCGGGCGGTGAGTGTTTAGAGTAGGAGGCTGAGGGCAAACAGTGCCCCGACTCAGGCCTCCTGGACTCTGCTTAGCCCCCTCGTGGCCTGATGGGCGGCAGGGACGGAGGTGGGCTGAAAGCCCGCCGGCACCCACCTTGTCCTGTGGAAGCCTTGGCGACCTGAGCCAAGCTTTACTTGGATACATAAGCGACGGAGTTCTTTAAGCCTCCCTCGCCTCAGCAAAGACAGGGAGCGTTTTGCTGATTTTAATGACCGCCGTTGCCTCTCTTGGGGTAGAGTTCACCCCAATCTTTGGCCTTAAAAGCCCGCTCTCTTTAGCAGGGTGCTGCGGCAGTTCTTCAGAATGAACTGGACCAAATGAAACTTATTTAAAGTGGTTATCGCGTTTCAGGCTGATTTGTTCCTAGTAACTATGTTGTGGAAAGTGGCTGTGGACTCTCAGGGACAGGCAGGAAGAAAGACCCCCTCAGGGTCCCAGTGTCGCTCCCCACAGTTAGATTACCAAAGAATTTCCTTGATTCTTTAGGTCACAAGAATTTCATGAGCCCTCAACCGCCTACACCTTTATCTCTCAATCTCTCTCCTCTCTCTGAAATTTTTAGCAAAAATAATCTGCCCTCAAGGAATATCGAAAGCGTCATCAGTGTCTTGAAGGAAATTACTGTATCTGAAAACTAAAACTAGTAATTGTTGTTTAACTTTCAAATACATTTTTTAAAATAAAAAGCATACCTTTAAGTAAAACACCACCCCCACTATTTAAGTAGATGTTTAATTCACATTAAGCAGTAGTGTGCTTTCTGGAAAGATGATGGACTGGGACTTATAATCCCTGGGTTCTATTTCTAATTGTAGTTTCTGGAGTAAGTCAGCACTTTCCCTGGTTGAGAAATGACCTCATCTGTTAAATGAACCTGACTTCTAGGGTCTTGTTCGGCTCTCACACTGGCTTTTACTTTAGTTAGATATCAACATAATAAATGTTTGTTGAATGAATGAATGAATCAATCTTATTGCTGTAGGAACTATGTACTTTTAATATTTGGAAATACGTAGAAACAAATGCCTCCTTTGCTAGGAAAGGGAGCTTAATTCTGTTCCCACTGCATCAGACTGCTTCCATCTAATGATGCAATTGCAATCCAGAGTGGGAGGCCATCCGCAGGGCTGTCCCTCTGCCTCAGAACTCATCTCAAGTTTGCCATATGGTATAGAGAAGGAAAATTTGCGTCCCCAGAAGGCAAGTATTTTGCTAAAGGCCAAACAAAAATTAGAGGGTAAGGGGGTTGCTGATGCCTGGTCCAAGGCTTTTCTTGGAAGGAGAAGGAAGAGAAAGGGAGAAAGCCCAAGAAAATAATGCACAATGCACGGTAGATCACGGAGCTACAGGTTGCCTAGTGCCTAAGTTTATAAACTGCCCCGGCTCTTCCTGGAGAGGAAGAAGCTTGTATAAAGTGAATAATCCTAGGACCTAGGCTTGACAAGGAAGGAGAAGGGGAGGAGCAGGGGGCAGGGGGCGTTCTGTTCTCAAGTGGTTTGTTATATCTGTGTGTTTGTCTGTTCCACATTTGGCCAAGCAGTGGGAACCTGGGAAAGCAAGCTGAAGTGTTTGGTGGGCACAAACACAGGCACATCATTTGCACAATTCTTTTTCCCAGGTTATTTCTTTCCACCCTTTTCTGGACCCATCTTCCTCTTCCTACCAGAGGCAACCCAAGGCCTTTCCAGGCAACAGCAGACATGATTTACCCCTTGTGAATTGCTTCCACAATGAAAGACTCTTGGGTCCAAGGAACTGTAAGATAATTAGGGAGACAACAGATAATGAAGGCAAAATCCAGCACCTAGCTGTTAGCAATGCTCTGGAAACGTTATTTCAACCCGAATTGGATGTCAGAGCTGGGAGGGCCCACATGGTCTCCCTACCCCCCTTTTGCAGATGGAGACAGAAAGATCCAGGAGCTAGTGACACATCTCGCAACAGAGCCAGATCAGAACCCAGGTAAGCTGGGTCTCAGGCCAGGACCCCTTCGTTGTCTCCTCTCTGCCTCAGGAGCCAGTCTTTCTGTACCAGCTTCCTCTTTTCTCCTAGCTCTCCTGCCCCTGCAGCCTGGAGGGCTCAACCACCCTTCCCTTGGCTCCCACTCCCAGCTGAGGCTCAGCCTGGCAGTGCTTTTCTGACACCCACTTCTTTTCTCCTTCCTCCAGGCAAGAAGCGCACGTTTAAACCTCATTATCTGGCTAAGTATAAACCTCAGGGAGAAAAGGGTTTTGTTTTTGTTTTTCTCAGTCTGTAAGCTAAGGTTGAGCTGACTTTCAGAGTCCACGCAAATATCTGTTTGGTGGGTCACCACCCAGAAAGGAATTCTCCTAAGCACTGAATCAAGGCTCTGTATGTAAAGCATAAATCCCCTAGGAGAACTCCTCGCCCTCCTACACAGACACACTGGTGCATGCACACACACCCCACTCTCTGCACAGAGAGCATCTGAGCTAGGAGCTGGCAAGTGGGGCACCAGTCCTGTAGCAAAGAGGCACACCACATGCGCGCGCGCGCGCACACACACACACACACTCACACACAGAGAGAGACACACACTCTTACACAGTTCTCCCTTGCTTGGGAATCTGGGATAAGAACACCCCCACCCCCACCCCTGCCCTCCACAGGTATTGTGTAGGTGAGAGAAAGAGGGAGAAGTCAAAGAGAACACAGAGAGGTTGCCAGCCCAAGAGCAGGGTCCCTCCTTGAGAAACCCCTCTGCAGGAGCATCTCCTGCGACCAGCCAGGTTGGAGGTGAAGTAGTTCAGAATCAACTGACGCAACCAGGAATTGAGCTTTGCAAAGCCACTTGCAAGGAAGGGAAGCATCTGCCCAACCCTCCCCCACCGCGCGCCCTGGATCCTCTGCCTGCCCCCTCCCCTGTGACGTCACCCTAGTCCTGTCCCAGCGAGCCTGCAAAGCCTCTCAAATTCAAACTGCTAGACGCACTGCTGCCGCCGCCACCGGATTGGAAACGCGCGCCCAGGCTCCGCCGTCGCCTTCGCCCGGCGACCGGGCCAGCCGGCTCTGCGACCTCCCTACAGAATCGCACCCCAGTCCCTCCCTGGCAGCTCGGCTTCCCTCCGCTCTAACTCCCTCCGCTCCAACTCTCCTCTTCCGCTCCTGCCTCCAGTCGGATATTTAATTTCTGCACACCCCCAGTCAAATTAAATCAACCAACAAAAAGCAGGGCATCCCCCCTGGAAGCAGCGTCTTATTGTACCTTGTTCTCTCTCTTCCTGAAGATGCTAAACTCCTGGTGGACTGCAGAGGAGCGGGGATCTGTTTTCTCCTGATGTGTGAGTACACCCCTCCCTGCGCTGTCTTTGCCATCTCTATCTCCCCTCTATCTCTGCCGCCAGCCCCCTTATTCCTGATTTTCGCATCCCCTTTTTGCGCTTTTTTTTTTTTTTTTAAATAAAGCGATTGCGATTTCTGCTGGAAGCCCAAGACGGGCGAGCCGCCCGAGATCTCTTCGAGATACCCCAGGGGAGGAGGAGATGGGCAGGATTTAATAGGACAACTCGGTTACTAATGACTTGGCGGCTGGCTGCGACCCCCCGGGAAATCAGGTGCAAGCATGTGTGTTCCCGGGGCGCGTGTGTGGGTGGCCTCGGGGTGGGGGAATAGGGAGCGGAGAAAAGAAACCGCTTTGAAAAATGCAATGATTTCATTCTGCCGTGATGCCAACCCCCTCATTCTCCCTCGCTCCCACTCCGCCGCCTTGCTTTACCATTTTTAATCGGGCTTCCTTGTTTCTTTCTTCCCTGCACCCACTTCTGCCCCCTGCCCCCCACTTAAGGTTTGCCTGTAGGTACCTGAGTTGACACCGAAGGTGCCTAAAGATGCTGAGCGGCGTTTGGTTCCTCAGTGTGTTAACCGTGGCCGGGATCTTACAGACGGAGAGTCGCAAAACTGCCAAAGACATTTGCAAGATCCGCTGTCTGTGCGAAGAGAAGGAAAACGTACTGAATATTAACTGTGAAAACAAAGGATTTACAACAGTTAGCCTGCTCCAGCCCCCCCAGTATAGAATCTATCAGCTTTTTCTCAATGGAAACCTCTTGACAAGACTGTATCCAAATGAATTTGTCAATTACTCCAACGCAGTGACTCTTCACCTAGGTAACAACGGGTTACAGGAGATCCGAACGGGGGCATTCAGTGGCCTCAAAACTCTCAAGAGACTGCATCTTAACAACAACAAGCTCGAGATATTGAGGGAGGACACTTTCCTGGGCCTAGAGAGCCTGGAGTATCTCCAGGCTGACTACAATTACATCAGTGCCATCGAGGCTGGGGCATTCAGCAAACTTAACAAGCTCAAAGTGCTCATTCTGAATGACAACCTTCTGCTTTCACTGCCCAGCAATGTGTTCCGCTTTGTCCTGCTGACCCACTTAGACCTCAGGGGGAATAGGCTAAAAGTAATGCCTTTTGCTGGCGTCCTTGAACACATTGGAGGGATCATGGAGATTCAGCTGGAGGAGAACCCCTGGAATTGCACCTGTGACTTACTTCCTCTCAAGGCTTGGCTAGACACCATAACTGTGTTTGTGGGAGAGATTGTCTGTGAAACACCCTTTAGGTTGCATGGGAAAGATGTGACCCAGCTGACCAGGCAAGACCTCTGTCCCAGAAAAAGTACCAGTGATTCCAGTCAGAGGGGCAGCCACGCCGACACACACATCCAAAGGCTGTCACCTACAATGAATCCTGCCCTCAGCCCAACCAGGGCTCCCAAAGCCAGCCGGCCGCCCAAGATGCGAAATCGTCCAACTCCCCGGGTGACTGTGTCAAAGGACAGGCAAAGTTTTGGACCCATCATGGTGTACCAGACCAAGTCTCCTGTGCCTCTCACGTGTCCCAGCAGCTGCGTCTGCACTTCTCAGAGCTCAGACAACGGTCTGAATGTAAACTGCCAAGAAAGGAAGTTCACTAATATCTCTGACCTGCAGCCCAAACCTACCAGTCCAAAGAAACTTTACCTAACAGGGAACTATCTTCAAACTGTCTATAAGAATGACCTCTTAGAATACAGTTCTTTGGACTTACTGCATTTAGGAAACAACCGGATTGCAGTCATTCAGGAAGGTGCCTTTACAAACCTGACCAGTTTACGCAGACTTTATCTGAATGGCAATTACCTTGAAGTGCTGTATCCTTCTATGTTTGATGGACTGCAGAGCTTGCAATATCTCTATTTAGAGTATAATGTCATTAAGGAAATTAAGCCTCTGACATTTGATGCTTTGATTAACCTACAGCTACTGTTTCTGAATAACAACCTTCTTCGGTCCTTACCTGATAACATCTTTGGGGGTACAGCTCTCACCAGGCTAAATCTGAGAAACAACCATTTTTCTCACCTGCCTGTGAAAGGGGTCTTGGATCAACTTCCGGCTTTCATCCAGATAGATCTGCAAGAGAACCCATGGGACTGTACCTGTGACATCATGGGCTTAAAAGACTGGACAGAACATGCTAATTCCCCTGTCATCATTAATGAGGTGACTTGTGAATCTCCTGCTAAGCATGCAGGGGAGATTCTAAAATTTCTGGGGAGGGAGGCTATCTGTCCGGAGAGTCCAAACTTGTCAGATGGGACCATTTTATCAATGAATCACAATACAGACACACCTCGGTCACTTAGTGTGTCTCCTAGTTCCTATCCTGAACTACACACCGAAGTTCCACTTTCTGTCTTAATTTTGGGATTGCTTGTTGTTTTCATCTTATCTGTCTGTTTTGGGGCCGGCTTATTCGTCTTTGTCTTGAAACGCCGAAAGGGAGTGCCAAATGTTCCCAGGAATACCAACAACTTAGACGCAAGTTCCTTTCAATTACAGTATGGGTCTTACAACACTGAGACTCATGATAAAACAGACGGCCATGTCTACAACTATATCACCCCACCTGTGGGTCAGATGTGCCAAAACCCCATCTACATGCAGAAGGAAGGAGACCCAGTAGCTTATTACCGAAACCTGCAAGAGTTCAGCTATAGCAACCTCGAGGAGAAAAAAGAAGAGCCAGCCACACCTGCTTACACAATAAGTGCCACTGAGCTGCTAGAAAAGCAGGCCACACCAAGAGAGCCTGAGCTGCTGTATCAAAATATTGCTGAGCGAGTCAAGGAACTCCCCAGCGCAGGCCTAGTCCACTATAACTTTTGTACCTTACCTAAACGGCAGTTTGCCCCTTCCTATGAATCTCGACGCCAAAACCAAGACAGAATCAATAAAACCGTTTTATATGGAACTCCCAGGAAATGCTTTGTGGGGCAGTCAAAACCCAACCACCCTTTACTGCAAGCTAAGCCGCAGTCAGAACCGGACTACCTCGAAGTTCTGGAGAAACAAACTGCAATCAGTCAGCTGTGAAGGGAAATCATTTACAACCCTACGGCATCACAGGATGCTACTCCAAACTGTTGGAAACGTGGAAATTAGCTTTTGTGTTTGTGTTCTCCCTTTCCCAGTGTACATGGGGGACTTTGAAGATGTTTGGGAGATGGGGTGAAGTAATGATATTGCTTTTGCAAGTTTTCCTTTAAATTATTTCTCTCTCATTCTCCTCCCCTCCTTTTTTTTTTCCTTCTCTTCTTGGGAACGATCAGTGGACCTGAATGCTTCTGTAATGCATTTCTTCATATATTTTGTTGATGGTTTTGTTTCTTTTTTCTTCTTTATTTTTCAGTGTGGGAGTGGGAATAGGAGATTATAGTGACTGAAGAAAGAATAGGCAAACTTTGCAAATGAAAATGGATATTTAGTGTATTTTGTAGAAGATCTCCAAAGATCTTTGGTGACTACAACTTCTTTTGTAAATAATGATATATGGTATTTCCATCTTCAGTTACCAAGTATAGCCACTGGGCCTCACTACTTTGTGTTAAAGTGCCTTCGCACTTTAAGTACATTACTTAAATGTTGCTTTTAGCTTTGATAAATTGAAACTATTTTAATGTGTTGTATTTTTGAAATTGAAAACACTGTAAAATAGATCGATGTGTCAGCTATATTAAGTCAACGTGCAGTTTGCTTGAGTTATAGAAACCAGCCTGTCAACAAATGATTCTAGTTCTAGGACTTTGTAGGCTTAACTATACGATATTTCCTTTCCTCTGGGTTTGTTTTAAGTGATTTTATTTAAGTCAACTAAGGGGATTTAACAGTGGACTAGAGGTAATAAGCCACCTCAGTCAGGATTAATAATTCATTAATAAAATATATTTAACCCAATATCAGAGTGAATTGAGCAATTAATGCCCTTCCGTAAATCATTATTTTACACCAACATGGTGAGTGTTTTAGATTATTTTCCTAATTAAAAGGACATGACACAGCTAGTAGTATATTTTTCTGCATTGATTAGATATTTTTATATATTTAAATGAAAAAGTCTGTATTTCTAACTTTTTAATTGAAAATATTTTTTCTGCCTATTGAAACATTTTCTATAAACACACACCAGTAGAGGCCGCCACACACCTCATTTAACAAAGACATATGAGCCATTAAATACCTTGAAGGAAGACTTCATGGGTGCGATTAAATCTTCCCAAGTAAGTTCTCTGCAAAATTTAAGGTAGCAGAGATAAAAACATATACATTACTTTCTATTTATTTTAGATCACAGGCTAGACTCATAATCCTTCTCAATTTTAACATTTTCTGACAAGACCGCATTTTCCTCTTGAGTTTAATTGGCGCATGAATGGGGTGCTATCAAATCACGTAATATTTGCATCTCCAAAGCGATTAATAGTTATTTAAACCAAGACCGGAAGCATCTTTTTCCTTCTGCCTTCTTTGGGCATGTGTAACTTACAGTTTTCCTTGTCAGCTTGAGCAAGATTTTCATTTTGGTCTTAGCATTAAAATGATTTTAATTAGCCAAGTCTATATAACATTTATGAAGCCTTATTAGACTGTAAATAATTTTTAGATGCAAACATTATTGTGTGATTTAAACAAACAGCCCTTCTTTACAACAAAAAATAGTTTTGTTTTGTCTATTGTAAATCCTTATGCAACTGGGATGGTGATCTGCATATAAAGTAGTTCAGCTTTTCAATTCCTTATTAAAGCAAGTGATGGTGTCTGAAAGAAGCACACTGTTTCCTTTTCATAAATAGGTTACTGCACATAATAATCCTTTATCATCATGTGGAGATTGAAGTGGATCCTGATAACTTACTTTTAAAGCTTTAAAATTACTAATAGTATATTGTCTGTCACTATAAACAATTCATGTGATAGGCTTTCAATTAGAAATTTCTTAAATCCAAATTATTTGGATTAATAATTACTGGTGCGAGATACTTGTTTGTAAAAACAATAGAAGGTTATTGTGTATATATAATCATGTAAAGGGCATTCAAGAAGAAAATACCTTGAACAACATAAAATTTCTGAATATCTACAGTGGCAAGCTAACATGCTCACTTTGATAACAAATGATAATTCCTATTTTGATCCATTAGAAGAAAGTTGAAAACGGTGGGCTGAAATGATCTACGAGAAAGTTCATGTACAGATATTTTACATTTCGCAGAAGAGGAGCTAGAATATTCTGCTAGTTGAATTTGGAGATGACTCCGGGAAACCATTTCATCTTTCAGTGAAGTATTTATATATAAAAGAGTTTCAAAAACCCTTTTCTGACTGCTCTCATTTGATGCAATGATACATACAGAATACAGAGGTAGGTATTTTGGGAAGTGATTATGAAGGCAGATTTGCATATATGTTCTGTTAAGATCTTCTCAGGCTTAAATTATGTGACTGGAGCTCTTGATGCAGTGATTCCACTTAAATGTTTATTTTTATGTTTCTGAAAGTAAAGCCATTCCTATAAAATGCCATTGCCCATAGAAAAAAAATAACTCATTAAGCTTAAAGAGAGATGATACCTTAATATTAATTTACTTACAAGATTTTAAAGACGCCTCCTGGAAGAACTAAAATTTATAAACTCTTTTGCCTAATAAGTATGGTTTAATTCTATATCCTCTTGCTTGTTAGATTTATGTTTTATTTGCAGTAGATTTTTAAATGTAAGTCTTTGAATGTAGTCCAGACTATTTTATTTAACAGCATCATGCACCATACCCTTCGAACCTTTATTGTCTAATGCAATCATAAACACTTTAATTTTTATTAACTCACTAGCATTCCCACTGACTATATTCTATTTTGCTTTATCTGCTCAAGCACTTTCCAGCATATTTTATTTTAGGATTTTTATTTTTATCTTCCACAGCTGGATACTGCTATTTCACTTTTATTTCACATGCAGCTTTAAGAGGTATGAGCATCAGCACAGCAAAATTGTTCCAGCCTACAGAATGTGGTCTCCCAGGGCCCTGCCAGGAACAGATCTGTATGTCTGGCCCTACAAATGAAAAATGGTAATTCCCTTCTATTTTAGCTCTTAATTAGTTGTGTTCACTGTTTCCGAATATACCTGTGGCTAAGTTTTTATTGAAATACTCAAAAGTACCACTTCTCAGTCTGAACACAATTGCTAAGAGCCTATTTTGGCTCTGAACTTTGGTCGACCTGTGTGCCTTGTTAGTTCTCTCCAGCAGCTGGTGAGTAAGGAAATGACCCTTCAATTTCCTATTCTCTTTCCTCTGACCTCTAATGTGACTTAATTTTTTTTAATGTCTCCAAGTCATCAAGGGCTTAATAATTTATGAATTTTACAGAAAGCATTTGAGGAACAAGAGACAGGTTCTGTGATTTTTCAGACTCTGAAAATTCATTTTGATTGTACATATTCCATAAATATAGTGGATTGAATGCTAGAGTGAAGAAAGCCTTCCAGAGAATTCTCCCAGTCCATTCATTTGTTCATTCATTTGTTCATTCAATAGTTGTTGAGTGTTTATTTCCTGGGTGCCTGGCTCTAGGCTATGTGCTGAGGCACAGTAGGCAGGATCTCTACCCTCCTCACAACACCCTCTTCACTCTCCACCGCACCCCCTACTACTCACCCGCACCCTGGCAAGGAGCTTAGTGCTAATAAGGGAGAATCTTACCTGAATAGCAATCACCCAGATTAAACAAACAGTGGAGACAGTAATGCGATGCAGGAAGTTAAGTTTTTAAAGGTGATTCTGTGCAGTAAGGTATAAAAGTGATATATAATAAATAGTCTAGCTATAGTCTAACATCTCTTTAGAATTACACAGTTAAAAAGGAGAAGAAAAAAACAACAAAATAAGATAAAATAAAACAAATTTCTGCAAACTAAGGCCCAGGATCATGGCCTAAAGAAAGCTATATACTTGTGCTATCTAAGGCGCTACTTTGTAAAGATGACTATCAAGATTGTAAATACAAAATTTTAAAATGTACTTTAATTTTCTGGCAGAATATTCCTGTTTCATAGGGAATATTTACTTTATTTTAGTGGCTTGAAATAGAACATTTTGGCTTAAATGTCTTTTGATAAGACACAGTACTTTGATAAGACACCTTAATCTTGAGAGAGAAAAAAATTAAGTACTATATATAGGTGTGATTTGTTTCTCACAATGATTGTGCAAAAAGTCACATGTAAATGGAAATTTTGTAAATCAAATTGTATTTTAAATGCATTAGAGGAGCTTCCATTTAGAGGAAATTGTGAATTCTTTCATAAAGCTTAAAACCATTTTATAATACAAATAACCATTCTCCAATTTATCTGTTTTGTATTTTTGGATTTTCAATATCAACTTTGCTTAAAACAGAGCCCACCTGCATAGTAACTGTGTTTTGCCACAGCTGCTCGGGCTACCAGTTTCTTGGTAGCTAAGGGCTTGTGTTTGAAAGTCTGCTGAAGTTTGGTGTGAATTAGGCTATCAAGCAACGCTATAATAGCACAGTAGCAGTCCTGAAGAGTCCAAGTAGCCAACCTATTTCAACACAATTGAACACAGGACTCTTCTGCTCAGCAGCATCTCCTTTCTCAGATATGGCCACGTTACAGTAGCGTGTAAAATGACTCCTTTATTCATATTCTATAAAGTGCTTAGAGTCACAGGTTTTATAATAAAGTATGTTATTATGTAAACATTAAATTGCATGTATGTTAAAATTTACAGCAGTACTTTAGCTTGAAAGTACTTGTAGAAATACTGTTAGATTTAGTTGCGAATAATTGTTCTCAAGTTACTGGAATAAATGTCAAATGAAACAAGCTCTTGTGTAAATAGACTTCTGTGCCTAATAGTGATATTGTTTCAAAAAATAAATGTCATAGTTTGGGCTGTTATGAGGCAAAATGAAACACTGGAAATGTGATCAAACGATCTTGGGTTTTATTGGATAAATTGTTTACATAGTTACTTTATGTGTAATTAGCTTTCAGTTAATAAACAAATGTTCACTAACAATGAACATTTAAATTAGTTAGAAAAGATAAGAATCTATAAAGAGGAATGAATGACAAAATATCGTTGGGACAGTTTTCTTTGTCTTGATATGCTTAGAGATAAAGGCTTTGATTCTTTGTATGATTAGTTTACATGTTTCAGGTAAAATTAGCTTTATAAAAACATGTCTTAATACTTTTCCATGACCGTCCGTTAGTATTGGACTTAAAAAATTACCAGTAAACAACAACAAAAGCAATTCAAATAGAGATGCCTCTCTAAGTACTGATTAGGTCTGCTGATTGCTTACTCTCCCCACCAGACACAGACATACATCTACACCAAAGTCAATTTTTTTTATTATAAATTTTAGTCTAATACCATATGTGATCTAATACATTTCTATTTAATAAAACAAGAGACTGACATACAAATCCAAAGAATAGAAATTATGAGTTTATTAATAGAAATTCCATCACTATATTCCTAAAAAGTAGAGTTAGAAAAAATAATCAGAGAGAAAAGGAGGGGGTTCATTTGTTCCTGTGATTATGGTGATATAATGGCAAACTTACTTCTTTGGCCATTTATATTTAGTTGAATATTAGAGTGTATCTGCCAGGCATGCTCCAAATCACAAATATATAATGTAACAAAGGATTTGAGATTCCTTTGGGAACATGTGGGCTTAAAACAAATTATCCTCTCTTAAGATTACCAATATATGTGCAATATATTTATTTTATTCATGTAGCTTTCATAAGGTAGCTGAAACAATTGGAATAGCCAGATTCTAAAGTGTTTTGCTAAAGGAGAATTGGTGCTAGTATACCAGATTACCAGATCCTTTGACAAGATCATCTGAAATGAGAATAA